CACTAAATTATGACTCGTATAATGTGGCTCTTGTCAACACCGTTTGGTGAATTATTAATAAATAAACGCTGTCTTTTAAATGTAGAAGATATTTCATGTTCCTGTCAGCCATCTTGTTAACATGTCTGTGTTGTCCGGGCGCTGCCCTGGCATTGGTTAAGGTAGCTCCTGTCTAATGGTGTATCAGTTTTTGAACAAAATTATTTAAAACAAATTAATATGAAGCTTTATGAAACTTTGTAGAGTCGTGGTGAGAAGGACGAACCCCTTACTAATCCATATTGCTTTCAATAACCTGGTCCAAAATTGCCAATACTTAGTCCTTATAAGATTCTAATTTTAAAAAGTTGAATACACAGTGTCTGGTTGGTTTATGGGTTAACTTGTCAGATGTTCTGTGAGGTAGATCTTCTGTCCACGGCGCTCCTGTGTCCGGCGTTGACCTGAAAGCGATAGCTCGTTCTGCTCGGGTCGTGTTAGCTGAGGTCAGCAGCTCTGGCTCAGGCCTGTTCTCCGCTCGGAAGGTTAAACTAGCCGTCGCTCACTTGTTCTGACCTCATGAGCTGCTCAAGGGAGAATTTGTCTCGACCACGTGACCTTAGCTCTTGTCGAAGCCTCGTTTATATAACGGAGCCACCACCAGTCTGCCAGGAGCAGCAGGTAAGAGTCTTAACGGTTACTTTGTGGGCAGTGATCTCAAAGAGACAGAAATAGTGGAGCTCTTAGGATGAACGTCTGACGGGATGTTCAGGAGAGGTCTGAGCTCTCCCCTATCATTTAGTGTTTGTTTTTTTTATTTTTCATTTTAAATCTACACACTGATCATTAACATACAATATTGTTGGATTGTTGCCGTGGCTGCATACACCCCCAAAAAAATCACAACTGTTTGGGAGATTTTGCACAATGGGATCAGGGGCCTGAGTAATTACTGGTGTACTTTAAGTTTTTTCTAATTGCCAAGCGCTTGCTTGAAATAATTCTTTTTAATTAATGTTTAAAGTTTATATTGTCATCCAGAAATAAAGAACACAAGTAATAAATCACAGTTCTTCTTTGTTTAATTAGCTTCTAAACCAATCTCAATTTAAAGAGGGGAAAAAAAGTATTAAAGGACTAGTTTTGATTTTTAAAGCGGGGTTAGGTGCTTTGCTTCTGAGCAGTCAGTGTCTTATCTGTCGTAGACAGCAGTCTGAACCATTCATGAACTTATGTACCATGAAATGAGGGCTTTATTACGTACACAGCATCACTTTTGCATTAGTTATTTACAGACATCTACGGTTATTTGCAAAGACTAGAACTTGATTCGTGGTCCGTTCAAGTCGTAACAAAACCTATTCGGTAAAGTCGTGCAACTCGATAAAGTAGCAATTTAATTTATTAAAGATGAACGAGCAGCAGAAACAGATATTTCTTTAGTCTTTCAGTGTAAAATTGGACACCTGCTTGTTTTTGCAGCTTGGAGTCAAAAATCTGATCTTCTGGGATTTATTGAAGACAGGAAGTTAATTAATGGGAAACGGCACAAAACGCTTTACAACTGAAATAATTTGTTTTATTAGTAGCCTCAGCGCTTATTGTCTCGATTTATCATTCTCTTAAATTATCAAGAACATGCTTAAATAAAATATGAACCAATTATTTGACTAGAACATGTTTGTCACTTTGAAAAACATGGAATTAATAAAGTAATATTAGGGTTTGCGTGTTTGATCGTTTCAGGTTTGTTCTAATAATGTTAATAAAAACAAGCAGAAAGGCACCAAACACAACCTATCAAAGTTGTTTTTTAATTAACTTTTTATAACCTGAAATCCACGGCATTTTGTTTATGTCGTTAATCAAAGCTGGGGGTTGTTGTTGTTTTTGTTTTGATTTAATTAATGTAACTGGTAAATGAGATATTTTAAGGTTTGTGGGGTTTAATCTGATTTTGTTCAGACCAACCAAACGTTTAACGCAGAAGACTGTATTTACACGCATTGAACTTAAATTGCTGATTAATCCTGTAGCTCCTGATGTTTCTGTAAAGCTTTTAAGAACGGCTCTAATTAACCCCGTCTGCCTTGTTTGTGATAATGGAGGGGAAAACATTTTAGTCGGCTCATTTTGTAAACGGCGTGGCTAAAAGGGCACCGCGTGATGATTACTGATGGAGCTGAAAGCTAACAGTTGAACAAGCCATCAGGGTTTGCAGGACTGGTTCGTAATTTCTAAAGCTCAAATATATTTCTAAAGGAATATGGTTTATTTCTGGCCTGCTGGTTGAACGTAATGTGTGTCTATGGTGTTTTCAGCTTCAGGATTATGGTTACCTTCCCTGATCCAGCAAGCAAAAAGCACTAAAAAGGCCTTAAATAAAGAACTTAATGTAAGGATTAGACTCAAAGTGTACTGCTTTAAAATAATTTGATAATGTGATTTGAAGAACATGAATGTTGCTGTAAAAATTTAGTTTCAAAAGCAGAAATTTTTCTATTTTGGCTCATCCAGTCGCTGTGATTTACTTGATTGCGTAATGTTACGAAAGCCAAACTTAGTTAAAGAAATCTGCAACATGTTAGAAAAAGTCAATTTAAAGAAATATTAACTCGTATCTGACTGATGTAAAATTAACATTTGCTGTCATGATGGGATTCAAGTTTTTGAATTGCTCAGTTAAGTTTTATAAACGTTTACTGTTAATATGACCTCACGACCTTCCGGGGCAGTTTTGTGTCCAGAATAATCCATTAATTTAGTTGATATCAGAACATGAATGTGCATGTGCACTGTAGTGATGCTGCATTTTGGCTAATTTGATTTAACAGATGTACAAACAGCTGAAAACGCCTTACGTCGCTGTTTTAGTGTTTCCGTTGAACAAAAACCGGATCACGTAACTTAATCGTGTTTGCACCATGAATTTTTCCACTTTATATCACATTTCTTTTTTATTTACTTCCCTTCAATGTGCATTAGCGCTTTGTTTTTATAAGTATTTTGATAATAAAAGGTAAATTTGTTTAATTCATTACTGCATACAGCACGTGCGCTGTGTTGTTTCAGCTAAATAGATCAGCTCAACTTGCAATCTGTTCACCCAAGTGGACATTTGTGCCGCTTATTAGCAGGAAAGCATGTTTGTAATGAAGGATAGATTTAGATAATCAGCCTGTGGATTTATACCTTGACATGTCAAGGTTCCTCAAGTACCAAAGACTTTTTGAGGAAGTGCTGTGATTGATGTCACCGACCTCACCACAAGCGCATGAACCGTGTAAACATTAACAACGCTGCAAAATGCCAAATTATCTGCACCTCAACAGACGACGTGATTCACCGCCATAAAACTCGGGCTTCTTCTGCACACAAGAAGTTTAAGTTTTAGAAGTTTGACGGGAGGTTGTCCAAACGTTTCGCTCCTGCCTTATCTGAAGGCTAACACACCCTCAGTCTGTTTAGAAGTGACCGCTGCCAAACTAATCTTTTGTTCCAAGAGTAATATTTGAATAAACAGCTGTTTTTATTTCTGCTTTGGCAATACAAAGATGAGCTATAAGTAACAGTGCACTGTTCAAGCTCATTGTTTACTAAGAGTTAATTAACGGATTAAAACTAGCCGTTTTCTGGAACAATTTGTGACTGAGCGGATGAAAAAGGAGGATTCTTAGTGGAGGACAATAACTGAAAGTGCAGAGGTCACAGTTAAAGCGTCATGCTGGACGGAAATGCATTAAAATGATCAAACTGCTTCAGAAAGTTATTAGCAGGAATTTGATTTCCAACCAGCTGTGTGTTGATCTTTATTGGGGCTTTGAAGCTAACAATGTAGCTCTTTGGAGCCTTAAAATGTTGTTTACTAATTAAAATGGGATCATTTTACTGATGGCATCCATATGTATTTGTTAATATTAAAAGAAAATAAAGTTTTTGTTTCATGAACCATTTTCAGATTAGATTAGGAGTCTAACTATAAGAAAACAAAACCTAAAGGGGACGAGGATTGTACTCCTCCCTTCTTGGAACTAGTTTTTACTTAGCTTCAGTTTGACATTGCAGATTTTTATCTACCGTTATTTTTGGCTACACGTTTCACAACTTTCTGCATGACTTCATCTCAACAAGTCTGAAGTGGATAAACTACTACAAGCACATTAGCTGCACGGCTAATGATGTTTTTCATTCAGTCGTGGTTTAAAAAAACTCCGTCCCATTTTCTTTCTGCAGTTTTAGAAAAGTTTTTTTTTTTCCCTAATCAAATTTAAAAGAAACAATTAAAAAAAAAAAAAATTCACTTCGTAGCTGTTCAACAGAGAAGTAGTAAAGCTGTGTCTGTGTGAGACTCAAAAGGTTCTGCAGGAAATTGACAACGCTTATGCAAAAAATGCGTGCGCACGAGCATCAGGTGTGGTCGAGAGGTTCTGCACCATGCAAACATCTGGTGGTCTCATTTTCTGCCATGTTTAGTATACTGTCATTGCTTTTGTGATTGTTTGCAAACTGAAAAAATGCCATGTGAAGGTGTTATTTAAATTTTTTTTTTTTTTTTTTTTTGAATGCTAAGGTTCTCATTTTGAAATGCCAATAGAAATATGGACTGGGAAAAAAAAACATTGATGTTTTTAAAATCCAAGCAAAGTGTCATAATTAAACATGAATCAATAACAAATGTATTTAAAAAAAAAGCAAAATAAGTGTAGGTGTGTGATCACTGTGTTAATTTTGAGGGTAAGGAATAATCCTTTTGTAAAACTGATGCGGGTTACGGGTGTACCACAAGGCTGAGTCCTTGGCACCCTTCTTATTTGTTTTTCCATAAACAATTTAGTGTAGTCATGCCTCATGGAATATCATTTGGATATATCAACTACTGTAATGTCAAAGCTGCTTTCAAACAAACCAAAAATCTGTAATAATCACAAAAAGCCCTTGACCTATTCTTCTCACTCGTGCTATAAAGGCTTAAGATGAACCCAGGTGATTTCTACAAACATTTTCATGTCTCCTTTGATCAGCAGTCTGAAGCGCCGCTGCCCTCACTTCGACCACAGCCACAACAGAAGCCACGATGGGCAAACAGAACAGCAAACTTCGTCCCGACGTCATGCAGGACCTGATGGACAACACGGACTTCACCGAACACGAGATCACCGAGTGGTACAAGGGTTTCCTGCGGGACTGCCCCAGCGGCGCTCTCACCATGGAGGAGTTCAAGAAGATCTACGCCAACTTCTTCCCATACGGCGACGCCTCCAAGTTCGCCGAACACGTCTTCCGCACATTTGACGCCAACGGAGACGGGACCATAGACTTCAGGGAGTTCATCATCGCCCTCAGTGTCACCTCACGCGGCCGGCTGGACCAGAAGCTGAAGTGGGCGTTCTGCATGTACGACCTGGATGGGAACGGATACATTAGCAAGGCAGAGATGCTGGAGATTGTAACGGTAAGATCATTTCTTAATTTTTTTTAGTTTTCCTCTTTTTTTGTCTAAAATTTTCTATCCTTTGCACTTTCAGACATTCAGCTTTGGCTTTTTTAGTAACTTTTTTAATGGAAGTGACATGACATCATATTATTATTGTCATGTTTCTTGGTGTAAAACTTTTCCTGCAGTGAAGCAACACATATCAGCTACGTTGCAAATGCAGCCTACAGCAATAAAACCCGCCTCTATGTAATTTTAGAAACCATTATTTCCTCTTTGGTACTCGAAAAGTTGTAAAAAAAAAAAAAAAAGACCCAGTGAATATGTAGAGGGTCTTCCTCGGATCTTCATGTTGACTCAGCCCTTCCTTCAGCAGCGTCTTCACCTGCAGCTGAGGCTTTGAGACTTAAGAGCATCACGCAGAGACACACGTCACCCAACAATCCTGCACATGTTCTGAGATCACCCGTCACGAGGCTAGGTTGAGCGGAGCGTCAGTAAAAACCTAATCCCAATCTCCAGTTTGTTTATTTATAGTGAGAAGGTGTTTATGTGAAGGGACACAACAATAAATTTAATTTATGATTAATGTTAAAAGGATGAAAAAGAAAACCAGATTACAGTTTTGTTTGATAAGCTGACACCGCTCAAAGTAAATTCCATAAATTCATATTTTCATGTAATTTTACTTTATTTATGCTCAAATAATTAGTTGATAGTTGAACCAATGTTTCCTTCAAGCTGTTTTAATTCACTTCATTGAACACAGAACTGATAAATGAGGTGATGTGGCAATATTTGCCACTTTGCATCGAAGTGAGGAATGTGTTAGTTTTGTGAGATGCTGTCGGCTCTTCATGTTTTCAAAAGTACTGGACTTAGAGTGGAGAAATGAGTGGTGGATATGGGCACCAGTGACCACCGCGACCCGAAAAGGAAGAAGCGGGTAAAGATGATGGATGGATGTTTTGTCTAAACAAGCAAACAAAAAAACTTCAGCTCAAAGTTGGTTCAGAGACTGTTTTTTATTTCAGCAGTCAGATACCTGGATCTCACCTGGACTTTATCAATCAGGTGCTGATGATGACCCCAGAACTTGCATCCAGTTCAGTCTGGTCCAAAAGTGATTAAATCTAATCAGTACGGGGAAACTTAAAATCTTTTTTTTTTTTTTTGATTTCACATAATTTATTTACTCATCTAGACAACTTTATTTACTCAAATCTACAAGTACAGACTAAAACAAATACTCGTCTTTCTGCAGAGATGATTGGTTGAATAAATTACATGGAAGTCTCTTCTCATGTGGGACTGTGCAGTCGTGCTTTAGGCTGTTTTCAGGCTGCACCCTCCCTGTTCTTCGTTTCATCTTCCATGAAAGTTTTTCCTTATTGGTTTTCAGGCCATTTACAAGATGGTTTCCTCTGTGATGAAAATGCCCGAGGACGAATCCACACCTGAGAAACGCACAGATAAGATCTTCAGGCAGATGGACACAAATCGAGATGGTGAGGTTTTATTTATTTATTTATTTATTTTGTTTAAGTAAATCCAATTTTGCTACATACGAACTTCACTTGACTTAAAAACTGAAATACAAAAAAAAAAAACACTAAAAGACTGTACGTGAACATTTCTAAAGCATTAATCTTTCTCGTCTTCCAGGTAAGCTGTCTCTTGAGGAGTTCGTCGAGGGAGCAAAGAACGACCCCTCCATTGTGCGACTGCTGCAGTGTGATCCCAGCAGTGCTGGGCAGTAGGAACCAGGACTCTTCTCACATAAATTGGCGCATTTAAAAAAAAAAAAAAAAAAAATCTCATCTAACCCACCTGAGATCCGTTGACATTTGACACGTTGACTTATAGAGGCCCATGAATGTGAAATGCACACAGCTGCACATACGGCTCATACTGAAGCCCGACGTAATCCTATAGCTGCACCGTTCATGCGCCTCTATGTCTGGTCAAAGGCTCCGCACAAACACGGGTCTCCTGCTCGGTGCAAGTATGACTCGAAGGACTGAAGTCCCATCAAAGACTTGTTGATATCAAAGCTGTCCCCGCGCTGCGCGAGACAGCCAGTGAGGATAATCTAGCTATCTGGCGAGGTGCGACGAGGCATACCCAAGTTAGCTTTTTTTAAATTTTATTTTATTTCTAAGCATAATTCTCTATTTAAAGTGAATCGTGCTCGTGTCGTCTTTGCGACTGATTGTTGTTGCTGAGGGATGACCAGCAGGTCTTGAAGTATTTCATCGTCAACACTGGAAAATAGAAAAGTGAAGTGTCTGGGACTACAAGTTTCCCAGCATGCAGTATGGTTATTTTAAATTATAGATCTGGGAATTGTAGTTTTTCAGGCATAAACTTTTTTTTTTTATGTGATGTTTTTGGAAGAATGTTTAAAGGTACTAAAACTGACTGATTCCTAAATGATGAGGAATCATTATGGATTACAGCTATCTTGTTTTTAATGCCAAGTTGGTGTGCACACTCAAACACGCACGTTCAACAAATGTACATATTCACACACACATGAATTTGACATATGCATATAAACAATAAGTTATATGGATTTATAGGTATAAACTTACTTGTTCTTTTCTGATATTGTGGCAGTTTGCATGTGTAAATTACAAGAACATGTTTATTTCATTTACTTGACGAGTATAAAACGGACGTACATTCACTCATGTTTATGCTAGACGCTGTAAAAAAGAGGAAGGGACCACATATTTTTACACATTTAACTTTAAGAATCATTTGTTACAGTTAGCTTATGTGGCTTCTTTTGCCCCCTTTGGGAGATAAAATGTCCACAGAGTAAATGCTGAACTTCCTCAATGACGATCGATTTTTGAAGATGTTAATTAATTCAGCATCATTTGTTTTTCCTGTTCGACTGTGTTCAAACAGCCTCAGGTGCAAGAAAAAAAAAAATTTCTATTGATCATGTCTCTTGCACGTTTGTCCTCACCTAAGTAAATGCTACTGCAATTACCATATTTTTCGGATTATAAGGCGCAATAAGCGAAACTAAACATTTTGACAGCTTTTTGAGTACCACATAATCGAGGTCAGTAAGCACAACCAGAATTAATACATAAGGTGCACCAGATTATAAGGCTCACTGAAGATTTTTGAGAAAATTAAAGGATTTTAAGTGCGCCTTATAGTCTGAAAAATACGGTATACATGTTTTTGTTTTTTTACCCCTTTTTAAATGTAAACTCAGTAATAAATTACACCACCTTGTCCCCGCTGTTTGATAAAAATTAAAAAATAATAAATGTGATTCACTGTTTGGACCTCTGCACCGTTCATTAAAGCAAACTGGTACTTCAACTTTGTTTCATTTCAATAGCATATTGTGGTCAAGTGCCAAACACAGATGAATTAAAAACAGAAAACACAGTATTGTATCAATTTATACTAGATACCTGCTGAACAAACAAGTCGCTATCATTTTGTAGATTTTGTATTAACTTGCATTATGTATTCTGTGTAGGATGTCCATTTTGTTTATTCAAATAAAGACAAAATGGGAAAATGACTTTTTATTCTTAAATATAATCATGTGGTTTGTAAAACCAGCATAATCGGCACGTCAGTGTAAATCCAATTAAGGGTAAATTATTTTTGGTCTATTGCTCCATTACTGTTGTGATTTTACTGCTTTTTGGAAGAAAATGCCCTAATTAATATTTTTATTTTACTACACCCAAGTGAGCAGACAAATAATGAAAATCATTTAAAATGAATATTTGACCATAACCATTATTTTTAAAAGCAGTAGTTTCCAACCCAGGTCCTTGAGGAACACCATCCTGCATGTTTTGTTTTCTTGCTCCAACACACCAGACTCCATGATTTAAGCCCCACCGGCATAATGTCGGCGTCATTATGTGCTAGTGTGCAAGACTTTTCTTCATCATCACACTGCTGATCTTCAAACAAAAATTAAGAGCATGTAAGAAATTTTGTTTCCAAACCGTCATTTTTCAATTTTTATTGTCTGTCCAAACAGGTCTCACTTGTAAATGAATCTTCGAGGCTCTGTATAACTTATCTATTTAAATAAAGGTTGAATGAATGAAAAAAATATTTCATGTTCTGCTGAAACCTGTTAATCACCCATTCATTTAAATCAGGTGTTTTGAAGCAGGGAAATAACTAAAACATGGAGCGTGGTGTTCCTCAAGGACCAGAGTTGGGAACCATTGTCTTAAAAAATGTGATCAGCTATATATATATATTTTTTTATAAAAAAAACTTACTTAAAATATTTAACCTTTATCAAATTCTAAAATAACATTTTTCCATTTATTTGTAGTTGTAAATTGGTATAACTTTTCAAATGGGCCTGGATTAAGAACCATGCTATGACTAGCTTTGCTTTAGCTCCCATTTTATCATATTATCAAACTGACATTAGCCCAAGCAACTTTAAAATATAATTTGTTTTTAGAGACTAGTAATCTTTATCATTTATTGTATGAAAAAATGCTTTATACAGTTTAAACAATTCTCGAATGAACAAAAGAAATTTAAACCACTTCAAGATGAGAGCTAATGCTACATGCAGAAATGTAGAAATTATAAAGTGTTCACAAATTTTCAAGCACCACTGTAGTAGCATCAACTATAGGTATATTAGCGTTATCTTATTTTTTATGCAGCTAATGCTACATGAGGAAATGTAACCTAGCTTAATATTTGTAATTTAGCTAATAATGCCAAGTATGACTTTGTATTTAATTTATAATGATGGTAGCTTACACATTTAATAATTATTTTGATGTAGTCGATGTGTCATTTATGAGACGTCTCATCAACAACTGAAATTACAAGGTATAATTTACAAAAAAAAAAAATTTATAATAGTAGCTTTGTAATTTATAAAAGCACGCATTTCTCAAGAAAAGTTGTAGTTTGACCAAAAATGAAATTCCTGTTTTCATTTTAACTTTTCAACAAACCCACGTCAGACCACATAAATGACAGCGAGGTTTATTCTCCCCCATGAAATGTTTATTACCTTTAGTAACACTCTTCTTCTAAATAACCCTTCAGCTACTTGCGGACATGCAAGTATTATGACAAAAGGGTAATTAAGTTATTATAAAGTCGACTGAATGTTGTGACAAATCACTGAGCTTTCTTGTCCTGGAAAGTTGTTGATGAACTAGTAAGGAAATGAATGACACTATAAATAATAACATAAGTAATAACAACTTATTGCAGCATACAAATAATCTAAGTTACTTGGAACCAACTAATTCAAGCTGTGGCTACTTCTGATGTAATATTTGATTTAAAAAAAAAGCATGTCTGTACAGAATGAAACATACAAAGTCTTTTATACAATAAAATATCCAGTAAAAATGGAGGATGTGAGACATTTCCCCTCACTCTCAGTCCACAATAAAGTCCTTTTTGGCCCTGCACAGGAAATAAGACTTGCTTCATAGTGTAAGGAGCGCAGACGTCGGCCCCACTCCGCCCGTGGACTGTCTCCAGCAATGCCAGCTTATCAGCAGTCACAGCTTCTCCGATTTCTCCTGCAGTCCCTCAGATCTACAGTCAGATCTCCGTCAGTATGATCTTGTAGGCGTCTGCGTGGCTTTCGATGCCGAGGACGAAGGTGTCTTCGTTGGAGTAATGCTCGATGATGTTGTCGTCCATGTTCACCAGGATTCTGTCACAAAACTCAAATGACTACAAAGACGAACGCTAAAATAAAAGGCTTTACTTTCTAATATTTGTTTCCTCACTCACCCCTTTTTACTTTTCTTGTAGACTTTGGCTATCCTCTCTGTGGGCACGCCGTACTTCTCCGATATCTGTCGACAAAACGCAGGGAAAACGGTCCGTGAGCAGTTTTCACATTTACAAGCAGGGCTTAATTTGAACTGGATCCTGCCAGAACAGGATCCCGGAACTCTTATTTTGACAGGGTGCGTTCTGGTAACCGTTTGCTTGGATCCGGTAACTCTCAGGCTTACTAATAATAAAGTTATGAACAAATATAGCTTTGAACAAATAAAAGTTATATTGGATATGTAAACTGAAAAAAATACATAAACACTCATTTTAAACACAACAGCCACTTACAACTTCTTAATATCCCATATGATCTACCTCTTCAAGTAATCATTTCCGTGTCTACCCTTAAAAAAAATCTCTGTCCCTAAAAGAGCAGTGGGGGTGAGTGCCGAGCTAACCAGACAGTCGTATGCAAGCAGCAGCCCATGAACAGACGGAGGAGGCATCTAGAGGTTTTCACGTGGAGTCGGACAGAGAATTCAGCGGAGAAGTGTCGGCTCAGAACAGTCAAGTAAGGGAGAAGAGGGGTATTTATTATTTATTAACCTTTATTTAACCAGGCAAATCCCAATGAGATCACAGATCTCTTTTGTGAGAGAGGCCTGAGCCTGAAGGCAACCTAACACGCATGTTTTTTTGGTCTGTGGGAGGAAACTGGAGTACCCAGAGAAAACCCATGCAAGCACGAGAAGAACATGCAAATTCCAAATTGAAAGACCCCAGGTACATCTGGGGATTGAACCCAGGACCTTCTTGCTGTGAGGCAACAGTGCTAACCACTGAGCCATTGTGCTGCCAAGGTAGGATGCTTGACAGAAGCGCAAGTGTTTATAAATGTAGGTAAACGTAGATGTTTAACAACCTGTTAATAAATGCATCTACTTTATTCAAAAATTTCTGGGGGAGGACCCCCCACCAGCTATTTGCATTTTGGCATCGATTGGTTTACAAATTAAGCCCTGCTTAGTGCTTACAAGTTGCAACTTTGACGGCCACTCACCGCGTCCATCAGCCCCCTGAGCGTCGGAGACTTCAGCATCAGGGCATCGAACACCTCGTCAGTCTCCTTTCTAACGTACAGCAGCACTGCAGACAGCAAAGGCAAAAGTAAACAACGACTCACAAAAGAAGGGTCCTCCGTTAAAAATGTTAACTTTTTATACATTCAGGTATTAAATAATAAACAAAACTTTTTTTTTCTTTTGTACCAAAATATACTCCAGCAAAAGCTGTATGTCTAAATTCTTGATCTTCCTGCAGGAAGTGACCCAGGCTGCCCCGGATGCGCTACAGCTAGCTGCTGCCACTATTTGTGCTTGCAAACAACCATAAAACTCTATGCAAAAAATCTAAAAAAAAATGTTAAATCTGGTCCTCTGGACATTC